GAGCGCCCGAAGTACAATGATATCTGGGCCGGTATTCTCGTGCGTCCCGTCCCTGTTGAATAGACAAGCCAGATACTGATGAATCTAGTTTCTCGTCGTGTTCGCAGGCTATGTTGTAGTCTCTGGCATCTCGATCAATGGCTACGGTAAGTGAATTGGTGCTGACAGGCAGATTGAGCTCTCCCGTGTAGACTGACCAATCACAGCCTCCACCAAGAACTTCCAAGGAGATGGCATCTATGATTCCGGATCGAGAGTCGGACTCAATACAAACACACTCATTCTGTTTGTATTCTGTCTCTGTGTCGCTATTGTATTCAGCTACGTCTACGTACTGCTAGCTCGCCAGTTTCCCAAGCAGTTCATCTGGATAACGTAAGTCCCATCAGCAGGCCTTTCAAAAAGAATATGCGACTCACGCGGGTGGCTTCAGTGGTATCCTCAATATCGTTTTTGGTCTAGTCACGGCAATTTACATGCTGTCACGCCACTACTACTCCGGCGGCATCGTTTTCTTGATTTTCGTGGCATTCCTCATCTTTGCGTTCATAGTGAGTCGTGGTCCAATACTCGGTTATGTTATTACTCGCTGATCTCTTCAGACTTGGATCCCGCGCATCCCCTTCAGCGCGCTCATGCTGAAGACGGCAGTCGATGTTTCCAAGAGTTATGGTCACGTCTATCTAGTCAGTGCGCTCGGCGGCCTCTGTGCGACTGCTCTCGCTGCCTGGTACTCAGTCACTTTCGTAGCTGTGTATGCGAAGTATTCCCCCGGGCAAAATCCGGCCTGTGCCGAAGGCGCTGGTGGCTGCAGCAGCGCCAAGGTCAAGGGTCTACTCGTGTTCATCACCTTCGCTATGTATTGGACTTCGGAATGGTTGAAAAACACCATCCACACCACCATCTCCGGGGTTTACGGGTCCTGGTATTTCCACCCGCAAAACCTTCCAAGGGGCGCAACACGGGGCAGCCTCAGGAGAGCACTAACATACAGCTTTGGATCCATATCTCTCGGATCCCTCCTCGTGGCTATCATCAACTTCCTGCGACAGTTATGCTCCGTTGCCCAACAGCAAGAGGCTTCTGGTGGTAACATCCTTGGAGTGATCATGTTCTGGATTCTTGGCTGCATTATTGGAATCTTGGACTGGGCCGTGCAGTTCCTCAATCGCTACGCCTTTTCGTACATTTCCCTGTATGGCAAACCTTACTTCGCTGCCGCTAAGGATACGTGGACTATGATCAAGGACCGCGGTATCGATGCTCTCGTTAATGAATGCCTCATCGGTCCGGTCCTCTCCATGGGAGCAACTTTCGTTGGCTATGCAACAAGCTTGCTAGCCTACCTGTATCTTGTAAAGATCCCCTCATGGCAACTAATAATACCTACGGAAATGGTTTAGGTACTTACATTTTGTTCTAGGTATTCACTCACCCTTCATACAATGCCGACGGCTCTTACACACCAGGTAAGCCCCCACGCGCTTGGTTTTGATAAATGTCCATGTATGGCGCTTCTATTGACCGGGAAACTAACTTGGGGTCTAAATAGTTGTGGTGGCGTTCGCGTTCCTTATCGGCTTGCAGATCTGCAACATCTTCACCACACCCATAAGTAGCGGCATTGACACGATATTCGTGGCGACGGCATGGGAACCGCAGGCCTTAATGCAGAACCACCCCGATTTGTATCACGCGATGGTTCAGGTCTATCCGCAGGTCCAAGTCGCCATCCATGCTTAAATTTCTCTTATAAGGGGTAGCTAGGGCAACACCACGGCGGCATCAGCTGTGCTGGAATGCATCACGGGAAAAGTTGTTATTGTTTTGAATAATGAATGAATCCATAGTTTAATATTAATTGAGCTCATAGTGTTGCAGTCGATGTTAGCATTGGGATAAACGTGCTGCGAATTTGATGGTAATAGTATCGTAATACTTCGAGACCAACCTACAGCCTCTGAAGACATAAATATGTGAGAGCAGAATAAAAGTGACGATGAGGCCCAGACCAAAGGCCGAGAAATAAGGGTCCTATCCTAAATATGCAGCTAGCCTAATCAAGCTAGACTGGCCGATTATATCGTCAGATTTCTTCAAGCGAGATTGACTCAGCCCATGCGGATCTAGGCTGCAGGCCCGGTTCAGTTAGCGGGAGGCGTCAGGACGGGCACCCAATACGGGTGTCAGTGGCTAGGTCTCGAATCTCCCCGTTTCAGTTTCCTTGGTAGGGGCCATTTCACGATGGGATCCTCCACTATCTAGGCAGTAAACCGCAGGCAACGATGTCCGTGTTGCCTCGAGACGTGACTACAACTCGAGGGGTATATTATGACGGTTCTTCGTCTAAGATCTACAACGACATCACTGGTGCCCAGGGTTGCACGAATCGTCATCTACTTTGCGGTATCGCCACTTCAAATTTTACCGTCTCTCATAAACCACCAGACTACACGAGGATATCGCACAATGTCCAGCAGCAACCCGTTCTCCGTGCTGTTAGACCAGAATAATCTGACGGCTAGACTGGCCGTCCTGCAGCCGGCTGCTGATCAAAATGCCCCCATTGAGATTACCCTGACGGAGGCCGCACTGAAGGATACCTCGTACGAGTGCATCTCATACGACCGTTCGGCAAAGACTGCGGCTGCCGCCGACAATACAGTAAATGTATTAGTCGATGGCGAGGAACAGGCTATCCCCAAGCAGCTCGAGAGTGCCTTGCGGACGTTCCGGCGCAAGGAGAGGGCCCGCAATCTCTGGGCCGATGTACTAGTAGGCCGTACAGTTGAAGAGCGTAGCGCACAAGCCAACGTCCAGCGCCACGTCCTCGAGAATGCAGAACGAACCCTATGCTGGTTGGGTCCGGGGAAAGGGGAATCCACAGCTAAGGCGTTCGAGACTATGCAGGAGATGGGTCGACGCTTTACCGAAGCCGCTCGTCAAGTTGGCCTAGGCGACAGGCTCACGAACGCAACCATGCAACAGATCACGGGGCTTCGAGAGCAGCTCCTCAACTGCCCCTATAACGACCTGAACTCATTCGACTTCGGTCTCTGGCGCCAGATCTACGACGTCTTCGGGTCGCCGTACTGGAAGACCGTGCAGTGCATCTCGGAGATCGTGCTGGCGCGCGCGCCCATCATCGTGTGCGGCCGGAGCAACATCCGGTGGCCGCAGTACATCGCCAGCTCGCGCGCGCTGCCGCTGTACCAAGCCAAGTTCTTCCAGGTGCCGCTACTCCCACAAGTATTCAAGGGCTTCGAAATCGCCAACGAGATCGAGATCGCCGAGCGCCGCCGCCGCCTCAACCAGTCCGTCGAGCTGCTGCCCATGATCCAGACGGCGCGCGCGTGCGAGCCCGCGGACCCGCGCGAGGTCGTCTTCTCCATGCTGCACATCGCGACGCCGTCGGGCCGCGCGCAGTTCCACAGCGAGGGAACCCAGCCGCTGCCCACGATCGACTACGCGAGGTCGCCGCAGCAGGTCTTCGCCGACGCCTCGCGCTACACCATCCTCGAGCGCCAGGACCTGATCCTGTGGCACATGGAGCGGCCGCCGTGCGCGCGCCGGCTGCAGGGGCTGCCGAGCTGGGCCGTGGACTTCGGCGCCGTGCCGCCCAAGACCGAGTCGCTGTTCAACCCGAACGGCGGCATGCGCGCCTGGTGGAACGAGATCCGGCCGCCGAGCGCGCAGAAGCCGATCCGGATCGACGACGACAATAACGCCTTGCATCTGCAGGCGCGCCCGCTCGACCGCATCGTGCATGTCTCGCCCATCTTCAACGCGGGGAACGCGCGACGGCTGTGTTTCTCCGAGTTTAAGAAGATGCTTGACCACTCCTCTACCTCCTCCGCCTCCCCTTCTTCTTCTTCTTCTTCTTCTTCTTCTAGTTCTACTTTCAGCTCTCCCTCTCCTTACGCAAACGAACCGCTAGACCAGAAAACAGAGCGCTTCTGGCGCACCCTAGTCCTCAACGCGGGCGGGGCCCGGGGCGCCAACGCAACACTGCGCGACAACGCGGCGCCTCCATCTTCTCTAGGTGCCAATTTCCAGAGCCTGGTGGCGGAGGAGGGGATCCTGAAGGCGCTGGACTGCACGATGCACGACCTGCAGACGCCCGAGAACGCGGCGCGCATGCGCTCGTCGCCAGAGCTGATGGGGCTCGTGCCGCAGTGCGGGCGGGCGGCGCCGTACGAGGCGCTGCTGGTGAAGAACGCGGCTGGCCGGCGCTTTTTCCGGACCGAGGGCGGCCGCTTCGGTATGACGGCTATTGAGGACGTGGTTGCGGCGGACCATAGCCTGACGGGCGAGGAGAGGGAAGGGGAGAACGGTAGCGGGAGTGCGGAGGCTATAAGGAGGGGTGAGGGACCCATCACGGCGGAGGAGGCGAGGAGGGCGGATATGGGACGTTTGATGAACGACCCTATTGGCCGGAGCATGATGCAGGGGTTCCAGCAATATCTGAGTGAGCGTGACCCGACTGCCGCGCGGTTGGCTGCGAGGGCTCTGCGCGGTGAGATACCCGGAGTGAGTGAGGATGAGCTAGTGCGTACTGACGCTGGTGTGCGCGAGGGTGATTTGGTAGCCGCTTGTGTGGGCGGGTTTGTCCCGTACGTCTTGCGGCCTCGGCCTCGGCAAGCAGAAACAGCAGCAGAAACAGGTGAGACAGAAGAAGGCAACTCACAACCTGCCGAAGAGAGCGAGGACGACTCAGCAGTGTACGAATACGTAGGGGAATGCTACCTGCACGGGGCCATGGATGGCGAGGACTTCCAAGTCACCAGCGGACTCTTTAGACAGAAGTCCTTCCGCGTGGATGTCTCGAAGCTTGTTGATATTACGATTGTATAGATGAAAATAGCGACGTCTCTATAATGACATGATCATGATAGAAATGGAATGGGAAAGGACTACCTGGTTGTGAACGGGAAAGGAGGTCCCATGCTTCACCACAACGCACCGAAGATGTAAGGCCCACCAGCAAGAAAATGACTATAGCCCGCGTAGCTCAATGGTCAGAGCGTTGGACTTTTACTCCCTCTTGAGGGTTGTACGGGTATCCAAAGGCTGCGAGTTCGAGTCTCGCCGTGGGCGATGGGCTATATTATTTCCTGTGGTTTAGCTTTTTGGAACTGAAATGCCACTATACCATCCATGTATACCTTATAGGAAGACCTAGACGCTATAGGACCACGTTGTGTCACCTCGAGAGTAATAAACGAGGTGCTTCTTTTTTTTTTATTGTGCGAAAAAGCCGTTAGTGCTTCGGTGTGCAGTAGGGCAAGCCGACTAGTGGAGTCGTTGACTCACGTATTTCGATGATGCTCACGATGTTATCTGTGGAGTCAAAGTTCACTTGGCGCTGGCTGAGAAGTGAGGAGAGATAACGGTATAATGCAAGTTGGAAGCAGCATTTGTTAAGCTACAAATAGTCCTCGTACTTTTGCACTCCATCAAAAGATGTCCAACAATAACATCACTTCCTCGAGAACCCCTGTGTCTCACTCACTTGAGTACAGAATACGAATACAAACAAGCAAACAGACAGCATAGACTTCATCGTAAAAAACAGCGCGGAAGCCACCCAAATTGTATTAAAAGCAGACACGGGTTTGACCCTGTAACCCCATGCCTTCTCTCGTTCTCAATCAAATACTTAAACGTACAAGTTCGGCCCTAATCAAAATAGCCCTCTCTGAGCCACCTTGGCTCGAATCCCACTGTCAAGTGCGAGTAGCAGAACCTCCCTTTCACGACCGATATCAGACACAGTAAGTGGGTAAGTAGGCGGGCAGCGCCAGTCAGTCGAGCCACCCTCGATTCCCACTGCCCTGCCTCATTACAGTTCGATAGACAGGTCAGTAGTTTTGTCTTCTCGTCGATACGCCATAGGAACTCCATAGCAAGAACAAAAAACGACGGAACAACAACAACGAAGAGTAAGTTGGGAATGAGCTTCCTTCCCACCAGCCACGCCTCTTTGCTTAGGTGTGGTACCTGGGAAATCAGTCCTATTTTCTGTCCTCGAAATAGAACTTGCCCAACTTATCCCCGTCTTTCGAGCTTCCTAGGACAGGCGCTCGGTTGCCCTCGCCTCCATCAAGACGCTCCCGCACAATGCGCTCAGCGGCTTCTCGCGTCGCCGGGCCACCGACGCCTTCTCGAAGCGCACTCGTCCGCGGCTGGCCGGGCTGGACTGGGACTGGGCCGCGCGTCGTGGTGTCGACAAACACATCGTCGTCAGACGTACCAACGTGGCCGCCGCCGTCAGCCGCAATACCGTCGACGTACTTAGCCTGGCGGGTCTCGGCCGCGGCGCTCGCGCTAATCGGGGTGTCGTTTCCGAGGTCGCGCAGCTCGCGGCTGCGCATCATGGCCTCCTGGCTGAGCCCGGAACTGCTCCTCTCGAGGCCCCAGACGCCGGTGGCGCCGGCGGTGCCGGGCAGGGGTCTGCGGTGGTAGATGGGGCCGCTGACGGTGCTGTTGGCGCCCTCGCCGAAGCCGACCAGGCTCGCCGTGCCGTCGTCGCTCATGCGGTCCTCGAAGCCGCCCACGGACCGGCTCGCTATGTCCTCGTCCATCGGGTCGATGGCGCCCGACGTCGAGTCCACGTCCATCGTGCGGTAGTTGGTGTCCATGCTCAGGCTGCCGTCCTCGTCGACCTCCGTAAGATCGGCGTCCATCTCCGTCTCCGCGAACGAGTCCGCGCCGCCCGCCTCGGTTGTGGTGCGCGCGCCCACGCTGCCTGTCGCGGAGGCTGTGCCCACCGTGCTCATCTTGGTGATGGCGGTCGGCTGGCCGTTGCTGTCGAAGTATGCGGGGGTCAGCCCCGCCGCGGCTGCCTGCATCTGCTGGGCACCGGTGGATGTGGGCGTCGTTTGCGGCGAGTTGGCGTTGCCGCTGTGCTGCTGTTGGTTCGGAGCGCGCAGGGTAGACACGCGCTCTAGACCTGCGAGTCGGCTGATGCGGTCGGCGCGCTCGGCTTCGAGGCTGTTGGTCGACGAATGGTGTTGGTGGCCCCGGGGACCTCCGAGGCCGTGGTAGGCATGGCCGCGGTGGCCGTCTTTGATGGCGGTGGTAGAGAGGGCAGAGAGGGAGGTCGTGGTGCTGGTTGGAGTGCCTCTGTAGATAGATATCGTCAGCAGGTAATGGATGAAGCCCGGAGATGGGATGGTATGAGGCTAGGCAACGTACGGCATATCACTAGGCGTGTCCGGATTAGATGGTGGCGGAGGGATATTGATGAGCATTGGTGCCGTCTGTTGCTGTGACATCTTTACTGTTGTGATGTTGAATAGAACTCCAATGATACAGAGCACGGGGCTGATTCCGTTTGGGTTGGGTGTCTCAGTTGGAGCCCAGATCGTGGCTGAGATTAGGATGGATAATATGGGCTGATGGTGGTGTAAAACGGTGGTGGGGGGTTCAAGAGGCAGAGACAGAACGGAAGTTGTTTTTGTCGGTAACGGGCGTAGATGAGAACGCTTCCTAGCTCTCGAATTGTTGAGCTACAGAAATTATCAATTGCAAAGTCGGCTTGATGATCCTTTGTTGACAAGAGCTCGTATCGGTCAATCAGTGCGTGAAAGGAAAAAGGAATACCTCTAGGCTGGCCGTAGAGATCGAGAGACTGGATTGTGTTCAAGTTCCAGTTGCGTGTTTGCATTGGCCGCCCGCTCCAAAGGGCCTAAACGCTCATTAGGTGCAGCTTAAGGTGGGGGATGACGTAGGGCTGTCGCTACTCCTAATTGGCTCTAGTGCCGGTGGGGGTTCCACTTTTGAGTAGCAGCAGAAACAGAACAAGTACCTAGGTACACTCAGGCGACGAGTAGAACCAGACTGTTTAGAAATTGTTGAAATCCTAAGCTCAATAGCATGGTGACTTACATACATGTACTGGTGCATTCTCCCATCAATCCGTAAGACCACAACAAGTAGAGCTCGATTCAAATGCGAGAAGTTGTTGAGAATATTCACATGTAAATGTCCAGTAGCTTCAAACGGCGCCAATCAAATCGACGTCATTGCATTTTCTCCTACTTTCCCCAACCATCCCCTCAGTTGTCAAGGGAGGTCATTCTCAGAACACATCAGGAGTGAAGTCGATAACTTGGATTTTGTCGACTAGGTCTTTGATGCTCTCAATAAACGCGAGGTGAGCCGGATCCTTTTCGACATAGTACTTTCTGTCTTCCTCGTTCTCGAACTGAGCGATGAAGGCGTGGGTTATTCCACCCTATTAACAATTTGGTCAGCTTACTCGAAAACATAGTAGTATGATATAACCGAGGAAATGAGACTAGATCCTCACCTGTAATCCCTCAGGACTGTTGTCTTTTCCTCCACCGAGCATTTTCACGTATGGTTTTTGGGATGTCGGGTGGATGCAGTTTGCTGCTAGAGACAGCATTCTGCTGCATGCCTGGTACAAAGTTAGTCCACGGAATACGCCATGATTCATGAGGGGTCTCTCTTACAGCCTGTTCCTCCTCGGGAGGCAAAAGATCTTTGAATTTGAACAAGACGACGTGATAGATTGTCATGGCGTGAGTATCTCCAAATTATAAAACTGCGTTTATTTAGAAGCTGAACTACTCTTATATAGAAGGTTGGTAGCTCAGGTCAAATGACCAATGGTCTGCTGATATGCATTTGAGAAAATATCAAAATCGCCGCCATCTCAACTTACTCCGCATTTCAATATTCGTCAAGATCGGCCCCGACGGAGGAGTCACATCCTACATGGGAACTCATTTCAATTGGTCTTACGTGTTTGTCTTCCTCCATACATCCAATGAGATCTTATTGGGCATTACTGGGCAGTTGGAAGATCTCATTTGAGGGTAAAAAGGCTATTTGAATTTCGATTATGCCGTTAATTCAATATGCAACTAGCCTGTCAAAGATCCACCGACGGTGGCGATAAGGCTCGTTGAGACCGTAACTCCGATCATCACCTGCCGCCTAGATTGAGAATAACCTAGCATCTCCGCACAAAACCTTCACAAAAGTTCCATAAAGCCTGGAACTCCTCGGTTTCTTAAGGGCCGATTCAAAGATTCAACATGCGAAAGGTCGAGGAGCCCGAGCATGAGGAGTTGGGGGCATTGGAAGATAAGACCGAGGCTCTCACTCTCCGCTCGAAACGCACGGAACGAGCTCGGAAGAAGCAGGCAAAGAAGACCACCAAGACAAATCGTCCATCACAAGACCTTTTGAGCCTGCCTTATGAGCTCATGTTAAATATACTAGCTCTACTTCGCCCTAGCGATATCTTCAACCTCCAACGAGTTAGCCGGGCTTTCCACAGATTCATCGTGGAAGATGAGGGGCGAATTGCAAGGGCTATCACGAGTTGGCGCTATGTCTGCCTGGAGAGGTGCTTCAGACTGCCCGTGCTTATGGAGCTTATTGACCCCAGCATTCGCGCTTACGTGCAGAGCCCCGAGCGACAGGAGCTTCTGGCTATTCATAAGAAGCCGTACCAGCATGTCCAAGTCCCCGATCCAACCGAAGTTTGCACGTGCCTGACCTGTTTATTACGATGGTCATCTCTCTGTCTCATCGTTGATTTCGCTCATTGGCAGAGAAACTTGGACGTTGGCGAGCCGATCCCTATGATTCCGCGTGGGAAACACCCTGAATGGAACCAGACTTTGATAGCTTCGAACGCGGCAATTGTCCGCAAGGCCCTGCGAAGCCCGCTCTGGCATGCGCGGCTACTGGAAGCCCATTTGGACTCGGCGACAAGATCCATACGTCGACATGCCGCGAACAAGGGCAATAAACGGCGCCGTTTCCATATGTCCAAAGAGGACCTGGAGTCAGGCTCAGACCTATTCCTAGAGAGGAGTGGACCACCGAGTTTCGACTTCCCATTTCATAGGGATAACTACTACATGCTGGAAGCCTACTTACCAAACAGAGGATGGAACGCGGAACAGGAGAGGTGGATGTACGTACCCGCTGAGCAGCACGATATAGACATTGGGTACATTGTCAAGTGGGCCGACAGGCAGAATAAGGCCGCTGCGGAATCACAGGCCAGATAGGTCGAGGTTAGAGAACTTCAGCAGTGAGATGATTATAATATT